AGGACAGGCTGAGGGAGCTGGGGTTGTTCAGCCTGGAGAAGAGGAGGCTCCGGGGAGACCTAATAGCAGCCTTCCAGTACCTGAAGGGAGCCTACAGGAAGGCTGGGGAGAGCCTGTTTAGAAAGGCCTGCAGTGACAGGACGAGGGGCAATGGCTTCAAGCTGGAGGGGAACAGATTTAGACTGGAGATGAGGAGAGGGTTCTTCACTGTGAGGGTGGTGGAGCACTGGAACAGGTTGCCCAGGGAGGTGGTTGAGGCCCCTTCCCTGGAGATATTCAAGGAGAGGCTCGACGAGGCCCTGGGCAACCTGGTCTAGTTGGGGGTGTCCCTGCTGACTGCGGGGGGGTCGGACTAGATGCCCTTTGGAAGTCCCTTCCGGCCTGGGCAATTCTATGATTCTGTGATTCATGGTGGTGGAGGAAAAACCAAGCATTAAATAACACATTGCTACCAAAAGCTTGTGGAACAACCACGGTGGCTGTTCCTTTCTGTTTGTTTGTTTTGGGGTGATGAGCAGCAGGCGAGTCCGACTTTATCATCACTGGAGAATGCCAAGCAATCAAAATTCACCTTTTTTCCCCCCCCTCTTGAGAAATCCTGCTATGCCAAGCACAAAAAAGGAAGAGGAGGTATGTGACCCTGTCATACTTCTCCAAAATGTTGTTGTGAGGTCATGGCCTGGTTCTCTGTGGCTTTGTCCTGGTGAAGCACGAGAGGTCTGAGCGCAGCTGGAGTTGGGGAACACACAGCAGAACATGGTTTCGTTTTTAATGGAGGTTAACATCAATCTCTGTTAAGCAGCTTTTGGTCACTGGAGAAGTCAGAATGGGTTTCTCAGACGTGTTCAATTTTGAAGGTCTTCAGTGACTTTTAAAAAGCGAAGTGCAGTCAGTCTTACCCAAAAGTCCACAATAGGAACTTAATCTGTCACTGCAGGAACAGTGAAAAGGCCAGCTCTCTGCTTTGAAGTTCACTCGTCTCCCATTTTCACTGAGTTTCTAGCTTCAGAAAAAAACACATTTCTGTTCTTTCCATCAAAAACTTTCTTTAAGTTGGGAAGGGCACAACTTCCCGATGCTCTGGGTCAACTTTAAAGAATTTCTGACAAAGCCAGCACCTATAAATACACATCGTCTCTGACTCAGCCGTTACTGAACTGTAGGATTGCTGCCTGCCTACACGGTGATACACCAGATTTATTGCTATTATTAGCTGACATGCAGCACGAAAAGTGGGAGCTGTAGGGAGATGAAGCTCTCTGAAAGCTTTCTGGCCAATTCCTGTAACTTTTCCTTCTGCTACCCCGTCTGTAGGTGCCTTGAGAAGCAATGGCCACAGCAGCTCTTCTGAACTTAGCACCATCTCACCGCAACGTCTCCTCAAGCACAGCAGCTGCTTTCTTGTGGGCAAGCACCATTGACATGCACGTCGCCAGGCCAAAATCTGCCAAGGGACGCACGAGGCCCAGCTTCAATTACTCTCAGAGCGTGGAAGCCTGTCCTTGCAGAGTGCCACCTTCCCTGCCACCACCTGCTCCCCAGGAATTAGTGAAGAGCCGAAGAGCATCGTCCACAAAACCGGTATTCCTATCCGGCCAGGTGTCTCCTGAGGAAATCCCAGAGCTCCTGCAGCAAGTGCCTTTGAGGACCTCCTCTTCCCTCAACAAATACAGGGTGCTCCCCTCCATCGGTCGGAAGGACGTAGGGAGCGGCGCTGTGGAAGCGGTGGCTGAACAGCTCGACCGGCTGAAAGTGAGCGAGAGGCAGGAAGATGCTCTGAAAATCAAAACTCTTTCTGGAGAACAAGGATCTGCCGGCGTATTGTCACGAAACGACGTCCCTGGTGAAGAAGGCTCTTGTGCCCAGAGTTCTCCTGAGAAGCCAGGAAGGAAAACAAGACAAGAGAACCCTTTAAGTTTGGAAGAGCTGCCAAAAGCAGAGTCACACTTGCTGCTCGCTATTCGATCTCCCTCCGGTCAGAGATTTGAACATCATTTCAAGCCCACCGACAGCCTCCAGCTGGTCCTTGCTGTGGCCGAACACAAAATGTCAGCCAAATACAAACGCTGCAGTGTTGAAACCATGGAGGTGCCCCGGAGGAGTTTCACTGACCTTACGAGGTCCCTCCAGGAATGTGGGATTCTCCACAAGTCCGTGCTGTGCATCCGACAGCAAGAGCAGCACGACGCTGATCTTTAGGCGCGCGGAGACGCCGCCCTGGATCGTTCTGCTGAGTGGGATGCATGACTTCTTCTGAAAAAACTGAAGTTTCCTGGGCCTGCTTCTTCATCTTGCCAGCTTCCAAAAATCTCCCTTGAGGCAGACTTGTGTAAAAGTGTTGAAATAGCATTTCAAGTGTATATACCTGCTACGTAAACAGCATCTTTTTTTTCACGTGTGCCATCACAAATTGCTTCCTGAGCACCACCAACCTTTGGCCTTTTTGGTTTCTTGAAGTTGCCGATGATGTTCTTTGATGATTGAAGTTTCCAAGACCTCTCCCCTTGTCCTTTTCCGTATTTCAGGAAGGTGCCACTTCCCAGAGTGGATCCAGATGCAGAGGCTCCCATTTGGGAAGGTAGAAACTGAACTCTTTTACTCTGGAGGACCATCTTCAGTAGGTTATCACCATCCTAAACATCTTGAGGGTGACTGAAAAGGAGATCACACCCCAAAACCATCTGGAAATGACAGTAATAATACATTAATGGATTATTGTGAAGTATTAAAATACAAGACCAATGATAATACGCCTGTGAGGGCTCGGATCTTTCTGGATAACCTTAATGCAGCTTTTAAGAGTGTGGCTACATCATCTTTTTAAGAACAAATAGTTATTATTTTGGTTGTATTGGTGAGCAACAGGATTTTCTACTTAGTTTTCCTTCCCTCATTCAACTCCTGTGATCCATAGGTAAGAACAGCTGGACAGTTAAGGTGGAATGTTACAAAATACTCCCATTGAACATCTTTACACTGAAATGAGTTAGTTCAAGAAAGCAAGTGGTGCTTTGAGAATTTTAAAATAAAAACCATATTAATTGGATTTAACCCAGGAATTGGCTCAGGCAATAGACCAGATTTTACTAAACCATCCTTAAGAAAGGCCGTAGGGTAACTTGGCAGGTTTTAGATAAATACAATGTGCTTGTGCTAAAAACAATAAAATAATCTTCTAGGTTTCCCCATCCTTAAGAAAGGCCGTAGGGTAACTTGCAGGTTTTAGATAAATACAATGTGTTTGTGCTAAAAAAAATAAAATAATCTTCTAGGTTTCTAATGGAAATTCTTATGGTTTAAAGGCAATAATTCAATCTACTAAAAAAATGGACCACTTGCCACGCACCTGAGGTAATTGTAGTATTTTGAGGTAAAATGAATATTTTTTAACCTCAGTGTAACTGCCAAAACAGCTTGGAACAGTCATAGAAAGAGGAAAGCTGATGCAGGTGTTGACTCACAGCGTAGCATCTCCTAAAGCAAATGGCTTTCTAAAAATGGTACTTGATTAAATAGTGTTACTGACTGATGCAGGTGATGGGAGTTGCACAGAGCAATATCTGTGTCTGCAGGGAGCCCAGGGTATCGAAACGTGGGTGCTTTTAACCCAACCTCAGTGGGGAGCAAAGTATTTCACTTAGTTTCTGGAGCAGGAATCATTTTCTTTTTTGTTCAGCGTTCGGTGTTTAACTCCTTTCTTCTGATTTTGTGTATATTAAGTTACTTCGACGTTTCAGAGTGTTTTCATACTGTGTGGTGGTACAATCAATAAAACATTTTAGGCTGAAACTTAAAATGGTTTCTGTGAACTGGAACTTTAGCCGCCACATCTCCTCTCAAAGGAGAAATGCCATTAATTTGATGGCAAATACCTCGGGGACCGTCCAAATCAGACTTGGGATGCTCAGTTGCTGTCCACGCCATCGGGCACGTGCCTTCCTGGAGTCTGTCTCTCTGTCCTGGATTAAATACATCGCAGTGAACACTTCAGATCTGTGACCAGAGACACAGTGACCACCATGGGAGTGTACAAGTCTGATGCTTTAACCAAGAACAGAAGAATAAGAGTAACTTGGCTCCCAGGGGACAGCAGTTGTCATGCTGGAGGATATTCACCAAATTCTTAGAATTGGAAGGGACCTTAAAGATCATCAAGTTCCAAGCCCCTGCCCTGGGCAGGGACACCTCCCACCACACCAGGTTGCTCAAAGCCCCATCCAGCCTGGTCTTGTGACCTCCCTTGTGACCAGGTCTATCCTCTTAAATATCTCCAAGATAAAACTGAATGAGTTTAGTCCTCTAACAACCTCACCCAGGCTGCAGCATCTCCAAAAGACATGCATTTTAATTATTTCCTTTTCTAAAAACCACATCAAGTCTTGATCTAGGCAAGCGCAGCGCAGGGAAAACACCTTTTCTACCCCAGTTCTCTTTCTCTTCCCTTCAGAATTCCTCTGGGGATGTCCCAGCAGCAACTCTGCCAAGTTTGGCACACGAAGCGCTTCTGGGGAAGAACAGTATTTATCTGACCTCATTTACTGGGTGGCATCATTTAATGAGCTTCCTTGTGGGAAGCTTTGAAGAATTTTGGTGCTAAATCAGGTGAAGTTCAGTCTGTCACGGGATGCTTTTGAGGTCACAAATAGAAAAACTCATGAGGACTTGTGGCTGGGAGGGTCCTTATCTAAGGCTTTTAAACCGACAACAAAATATTCAAGCGGCAATTAGCGGAGGCATCGTTCAGTATGTGTTCTTTATTCCAATTAAAAGTACATTAGAAACAGCACACAGGACCAGCAGCAGCTTTCATGACAATTCAACCCAATACTCTGCTGTCACGAGGTCATTCAGCTGTACTATTAAAGTAGGTGATTGAAACAAAGTCTTCCACTCGACACGCAAGCACTCACTCACCTGCCACTTTAAATAGGTTTCCAACAGAATAAAAATAGATACACCCCAGAATACAAAAAGTTTTAATTTTAACAGTTGTTTTTTTTTTTTTTTCTTCACTAAAGCCTTTATACAAATTGATAAAAGGGTGCACGATTTCCTAAAATTTTAGGTACATTTTAAATGAGCCTTTTTTTACTTGGTAAAAGGATCCATGTTCCTGTCTTTGAACAGAATATGATGGCCAAAATTGCAAAGAAAATTCCTAGTTTAAATTTACAATTTATACATTTGTTTTGAAGTGATTCCTGCACCGAGTAGCGAGCCCGCGGCTGCTCACGCACGTCCCATTTTTCCCCAAAAAAGAGCTGTGCACCCTAAAGTTCTAGTTCAGGAGCCTCCTTTCTCCTGGAAACCTGGGCTGGGGGAACAACCCACAGGCTTTCAGTTGTGCGCACGAGAGTGGTCCCGACCGAAGGAAAAGCCCGAGCCCAAAAGTTGGGAATGGTTCCTTTTCCATCAGGATCACCCTGGGGCGAGGGACCGGTGACCTCTTTTTTTGCACTACGAGCACAATGGAAGTGGAGCGCTTCCCCTCTGCAATTTGGCTGAGCAATTTAACTGAAAACATACTGTAACAGGTAAATTTGGTGTTCTAAACGTATTATTATTATTTCTTTTTGGTCGATACAAGCTTATCATGACTTTTATTTGACTTTTATTCCGGTTTCTATCGCTCATCGGTGAAGCCCAGCAGCTCTGTACATTATTCACTTGGAGCTTCACAGCAGCATCTTAGAACTGATGTCACCTGCCTAAAGGTGACCGACCCCCACTCCGACGATCGGTGAAGCCCAGCAGCTCTGTACATTATTCACTTGGAGCTTCACAGCAGCATCTTAGAACTGATGTCACCTGCCTAAAGGTGACTGACCCCCACTCATTAGCATTTTATGGAGGTGAATTTAGTCAGAAAATTAATTAGTACAGTTCCCTTCATCCTGCCCCTCCCTCCCCACCCCATCCACCTGCACCTTGGTGAGGTTTAAAGTTCGAGAGTATGGACTTAAGCACTGCCACCACCGCACCGCTTTCCGTAGAGTGGCCGTTCTAACAAATCAAGGAGAAATTAAAAGAAAAAAATCCTGCCCAGCAAAAGCAACACGGCACCTGTGTTTGCGAGTATGAGCTACTGGAGACATCCTCAGGACAATTTACGTTAAGGAAAAGCAGGGCAAATCCATCAGGAAGCCAGAAATGAGTCTTAAAAGAGCTCGGGGGAGCGCCAAAGAGAATGACATCCTATTTTGTACAAGTTGAGTTTGTAGCCAAAAACCAGCTGCCTTGTTTGGGGTTTTTTGTTTTGTTTTGTTTTTTCTTTTCATTACTTATATCCATTATATATTCAGCTGTTGAATTTTAACTCATCAGGTTACTGCTGAACTTTATTGCAATGAAAGGCAATAAAGTTTCTTATTTTTTTTTTAAATTTGTTTTCAATAATTACGCATCGCCCACTTTTTGGCAAGCCTATTTTTTAAGAATTCAAAAGACCTTCCCATTTTAAGGCTAAACTAAGAAATGTTAAAAGCTTCTGTAAACATTTCCTCTTCCTCCCCATAGTTGCACAATTTGAAGTCCAACTGCGATTTTTAAAATGAGGTAATTTTTGTGTACTCATATCTTAAGAGAGTCCTTTTCGGGAGTAGCCGAGAGGCCAATCTGAAACGCTGATCCAATTGTAGTGGGAGAGCTTCCCCGGCGGGGTACGCACCGGTTCCAGCAGCTGTACTTCAGTTAGTTATCTTCTCAATTTCATCCAAGTCATCAGTATCCAATTTGTTTATCTTTTTGTCTGGGAAAGATGAGAAAAAGTTAAGATTTTGTAACACAGAGCAGAGGAGGGAAAGCTGCTTTCTTTAGCTGGTCTTGAGGAGCTCGGGTTTATCCATGAAATGTTCAGTCAGGTTTTAAAACGACAACATAAACCCTTTTTTCTTTTATCAAAGGCCCATCAGGGTACTCGAATGTTACCTATCTCTGGAATATCTGCTTTAAGGACTGTCCAGGCAGCCAGAAAATAGCCAACTTGACTTATTTCTGCTCCCAGCATACATAGCAGTTGACAACTCTTAGTGACATCCTAAGTGATGTGATCTGTAGTCAGTTTAAGGCTCAATAGATACGTGCTCACTATACAGCTAGGCAAAATTCTGCAGAAATAACATCTAATTTTAGAGAAAGAAAAAATCTGAGGGTACGTACTGAAATGTTCCTGGATTCTGTTGAGAATATTCATGCTGTGCTTGCTGTCCACCATGTTAATGGCCAGGCCTCGCTTCCCAAAACGACCCGTACGTCCGATCCGGTGCAGATAAGTCTCGTTATCTGGATTTCCATCTTTATCCACAGGAAGGTCAAAATTGATGACGACAGAGACCTGCTCTACATCGATCCCTGATAAAAAGAAAGCAGCAGATTACATCACTATGGTTAGATCAATTTATAGCAGGAAGAACCTCCTCTGGCCTGACCTGTGTGTGGTTTGTTCACCACATCCAGGTTACCTGTGAGAAGAACTTCCGACAGCTGTCTGAGAGCTGCCATGTGGTGTTAAAAATCAGACTCACACTCTGAAATGTATCTTTTCTACAGTATCCTTATGGATACTTTGAAATAAAAACTATCTAGCCATTACACCAGAGAATCCCACTGAAAGGACCCATGGAAAAGCAGCTGGAGATGCTTTAACCAGCACTTAAGTAGTTTGGAAACTCTGTCCTCCTCTCCAAAGCTGTAAAGGCCTCGTGTTTTCCCCCCCCATAAATACTATGTTGTTTTAACTGTTCTAGGATGTCAAATTGCAACACAAATTCCACTGGAGTTCAGTGCTTTTAAAATTTCTGTATTTTGGAACACATTTATTTTAAACACTGAGGGTCAGCAGGGCAAGCCAGGCTTGGT